GGGGAAGTAAGTTCACAGAGGAGAAAGCTGAGCGTGCTGCCTCGGCAGGTGATCAGGGTTCACGTGAATGTCACGTACCTCCCGTGTCCCCTTGACATGAAGGGATGGGAAGGGCCCTTCATCTCGTGGTCTTCCCCCCAAAACCCACACCCCGTCTAACCGTGAGAAAAACCCAGACAAAGGGAAATGGAAGGACGTACGGCAGAGTGCCCGTCAGGTCCTTCTGCAAACCGTCATAATTAAAAAGCAAATCCGAGCTCGTGTGAGAGCCCAGAGGCGCCTAAGCAGTTGTAGCAGCTGACGGCCATGTGGGATCCGGGCAGGGACCCTGGAAGAGAGAGAGGACACGGGGAAGACCGGCGAGATCCGAATATATCGTGTTAATTTATCATATTGGTTCATCAGTTGTGACAAATCCACGGCCCTAACGTAAATGTTAAGATTTCCCAGGGGAAACCGGCTCTGGGCATCCGGGGACTCTGGGCTGTCGGTGCGATTTTTCTGTAAATCTCAACTAGGATAAAATAAAACCTTTCTCCGTATGTATCCAGAACGGCCCGCCCCTGACGTGAGCAAGGAGGGTGGTGTGTAGGGGACAAGAGCGCCGTCACAGAGGCTCAGGAGCCACCCAGCGTGCAGGTGGAGTGGGGAGGAACTTGTTGGTAGCGGCAGAAATGGAGAAAAGTGGGCAGCGGAGGAATCACGGAAAATGTGGAGTGAGCCAGGGGCCCATTTTTAATAGATTTGTGTCTGAGTAAAAGAAGAGGAGGGGGCAGGTCTGAGGCAGCAACCCCAGAGCACTTTCTTTGGCGGTGAGGTCATTGGGAGCCCTGGTAGACGTCCAGATGGCCGGTCACCCAGGACAGGTGAGCGCGGAGGCGGGCGGTGCAGGTGTGGGAAGCGGCCGTCTGCCTGGCCTGAGGGCCAGGGGACTGGAGCAGGTCACCCGGGAAGGGGGTGGTGACGGAGAAGGAAGGGGACCACCCAGAGTTGGGGGTGTCCGACAGGGAGAGGTGTGCCCAGAAGGGGCCCCGCGAAGGACCTCCCTTGCCCCCGGGGCTTTGGGCTGGACACGGGCAGCCTTGCCGCCAACCCCGAGGACTCAGGGTCGCGTCTTCCCTCAGGAACGCCGCTGCCTCCGCAGCGGGGGACGCAGGGTCCGGAATCCCCTTGGGGGAGGGGCCCCTCGTTGTGGGCAGGGGCGCCGGGGCCACCCGGTGTGAGCGTTACCGCCCCATGCGCCTTCCCTGCTCTGTGACGCGGTGGTGGCGGCCGGCGTTGGCCTGTCCCCCGCCGGTCTCAGTCCGGGGCCTGGAGCCGGAGCGCACGATGACCGTCCTCCAGAGGCTCGCGTGGGCGCTCGGGTACCGCATTCCCGCCAGCCGCTGGGGGCCCACGCTGGCCGAGGGCAGTGTGCACGGCCTGGCCACCAGCGCTCGCGCCCGCGCCAAATTCTACGCGGATCCCGTGGAGGCCGTCAAAGACATCGTGGACAGGGCCAAGCTCATGGTCAGCGGCTTTGGGCTCTGCGGGATTCCAAAGAACCTGATTCAGGCGCTGCTCCGCACGCGCATCAAAGAGTTGATCATGGTCAGCAGCAACGTGGGCGTGGACGGCTTTGGGCCGGGCCTGTTACTGGAGGCCAAGCAGATCGCCCGCCTCATCTGCTCCTACGTGGGGGAGAACACGCTGTGCGAGCGCCAGTACCTGGCGGGCGAGCTGGAGCTGGAGCTGGAGCTGACGCCCCAGGGCACCCTGGCCGAGTGCATCCGTGCCGGGTGTGCCGGGGTGCCCACCTTCTACACGCCAATGGCCTACAGGACCCTGGTTCAGGAGGGAGGCGCCCCCATCAGGTCCGCGCCCGACGGCCACATCGCCATCATGAGACAGCCCCGAGAGGTGAGGGAGTTCCACGGGCACCACTATCTTCTGGAGTAGGCCATCACTGCCGATTTTGCTTTGGTGAAGGGGTGGAAGGCCGATCGCGCCGGGAACGTCATCTTCAGAAAAAGCGCCAGGAATTTCAACGTGCCCATGTGCAAAGCTGAGGAAACCTCCGTGGTGGAGGTGGAAGAAATCGTGGATGTGGGGACCTTTGCCCTCGAAGACATCCACGTTCCTAACATTTATGTCGACCGCGTGATTCAGGGAGAAAAGCACGAGAAAAGAATTGAGCATCTAGCCCTCAGGAAGGAGCACGATGAAAAAGCCGAGTCTGCAGATGACCCCGGCGCCCGAATTGTCAAGCAGGCAGCTCTTGAATTTGAGGATGGCATGTATGCCAATCTGGGCATAGGAATCCCGCTCCTGGCCAGCAACTGCATCAGCCCGGACATGACTGTTCATCTTCACAGTGAACATGGCATCCTGGGCTTGGGGCCGTTCCCACCCAAAGATGAGGTGGATGCAGATCTCGTCAACGCGAGCAAGCAGACGGTGGGCATTTTCCCCAGGGGCTGTTTCTTCTCCAGCGATGACTCATTCGCCATGATTCCAGGCGGGCACCTCGACCTCACCATGCTGGAGCCATGCAGGTCTCCAAATATGGTGACCTGGCTAACTGGATGATACCTGGGAAGAAGGTGAAAGGCATGGCGGGGGGGCCATGGACTTGGTGTCCAGTCCCAAGACCAGAGCGGTGGTCATCATGGTGCACTGCACCAAGGCCAACGAACCCAAAATCTTGGAGAAGCGTACCATGCTGCTGACCGGGAAGCGCTGTGTGGACCGGATCATCACTGACAAGGCCGTGTTTGACGTGCACAAGAAGAAAGGCCTGACGCTGATTGAGCTCTGGGACGGGCTGACTGTGGACGACGTCACAGAGCACGGGCAGCCCTTCGCCGTGTCACCGGACCTCAGACCCATGCAGCAGGTGGCCGCCTGACCCGGGAAAGGAAGCACTGGTCAGAGGGTGTGTTTCATTTTCACCACTGCGTCTCACCCAGAGGGGGTGTCATCACGCCTGTCCGTTCGTCTGACCGGTTCTCCTGGCGTCTCAGACTCGGCTACCGCCAGACAGACTATTCTCTCAAGAGGAACATGGCTTTAATTAAAAACAAAAGGAGATCTTTGGTGTTGCTCTTGCATGTTCTGTGAGTCCTGAGTTAGGTCTGGTTCCATCATCGGGCACTCGGACGCCCTCCTCACTGTGATGTTTACGTTAAATTCCTGCAGCTCGGATGATCCCACAGGAAGGCTCTCACCGAGGAGCCTTCTCTCCGGAACGAGCCACGAAATGTGGGGGGAAGTGATGAGGGAGGAGTAACCACCCCCATATCCCCAAGGCTCCTTCCAGTGTCAGCCCCTGCAGCTGACCCCCCTCCCGTCCCAGCAGGATCGTTCCTGAGCGGTGCCTCTAACGTGTCCGGTGCATTTGTTTGTGGGAGGTGATGTCATAGATCAAAGTTTAGTCTCTGGACTGATTAGTGCAAGCAACTTGGCCCGGGGCCCCAGGTCTAGAGCCCGGCTGTTTAAGGGCTGACCTTTGCCAGCTGAGCAGGACTGGGGTGGTTTCACAGTGAATCAGGACACCCGCTAATGGAACAGACACGTAGCATCGTGTATGTGTATGTCTGTATCCTGTATGAGAAGTGCACGTGTGTTCCATACGTACGTACGTACATGTGCTTGTGCGTGTGTGTGTGTGTGTGTGTGTCAGGGTGGCAACACTGAGGTGATGTACAGGAAGTAGAGCAGTTGGCACTGTGTTCTAAGGAGCATAAAAGTCAGTAATCACCTCCTGTCGTTTAGTTTAAGAAAATACCGTGGGAGGGGCTCTTAGGTGGCTGAGTTGGTTGAGCATCCGACTCCTGCTCCGGTCATGATCTCACAGTTTCCAGTTTGTAAGTTCGAGCCCCACGACTGGCTCACTGCTGTCCAGCACAGAGCCCACTGCAGAGCCTCTGTTCCCCTATCTCTCCGCCCCTCCCCCACTCACGTTTCCTCTCTCTCTCTCTCTCTCTCTCTCTCTCTCTGAAAAATAGAAACATTCAAACAAAGAAAAAGGAAAATTCCACAGGAAATGAGAATGAAGAGATCTACCCCTTTCTCGTCTTTTAATGAAAGCCGGGAAATAACCTAAATGTCTAAAGTTAAGCTAATCTCTAAATATTATGGTACATTTTCTCAAAGGAATTTTATGCATTTGAAACGTTCATAGTGGAGACATTTTAACAGCAGTGAACATGTTTATGTGAAAAAGTTGGAAAACATACAGACTTCTTTGTTAAGATGACCATTGTGTAAAAGTTCAGGTGACATGAAAATATTCCAGAAAGGTGAAAACGATGTGTTGGGGTGGGCAGAGGTTTCTGAGTTGTATTTCTTCCCCAGAGGTTATCTTACAGTTGCCCTTGTGTTACTTTGACAGTTAAGAAATCAAGAGGTCATTTGGAAATACAAAGAGGTACAGGAAGTTGGTTTCATTGGTGGAGTCGACATTTCCAGGGATCGTGAGTGTGTTTTTCAGGGCATCCTCATCTCTAAGCAGCTGTGGGGCCAAATCCCATTTTTAGGGGTGTCCCTCTCCCTAGCCGGAGGTCCCCATCATGTCCAGCCCACAGCCTTTTCTCTCTTTTTTAACCCACAAACCCGGGAGTAAGACCTTCAGTGGGTAAGAACTTGGGATCTGACTGAACCGCGGCTCCAGGACTTTGGCCAGCTGTCTCTGCCCCACTGAACCCGGGGTCTCGTTTGTGGATGTCAAGGCACAGTTAGTGCCCTGCTCTTGGCAGTGCTGGGCAGAGCAAGCCCTGGCTACGTGCTGGTGGCTGCTCCAATCTGCTGGGTCATAAATTCATCCACACCCCCAGAACGTATGGGGTGGAAGGGAGAACTCGGGCCTCGGAGCGCTCAGATGGACATGGGAACCGTGGTTCTGCGAGCCCCCGGCAGAGTGGCTCTGACGTTTCTCAGCGAAGCATGAGGTCCAGGGGGACTGTGGAGACACATAAGGTCACGTGTGTGAACTAACTCGAAACCTATAAAGTGCTTCACAGATGGCATTGTTCACCGTTATCGCGAGTAATGACCCTGTGTTCGCGAGGCCCCCCTCCCTCCGTCTCCCTCGGACCTGGGACTCCTGTTTCCAGAGGAGCAAACTGAGGCCCTCTGCCTCCGTGCTCCTGGGCCCGAGCAGGCCCTGGCAGGAGGGTCCCCGCTGTCCCACGTGCACGGCCCCTGCCCGCAAGTGATCGCTCTCTCTCCTCTCTCCGTCTCAGGGCACAGTGTGGATCCTGGCCTGGCCGGCCTGCTGGGGCGACGGGCGCCGGGCTCCAAACAGCCTTTCCTGGTCACTTTTTTCAGGGCGAGCCCTGGTCCCGTCCGAGCCCCTCGGGCAGCGAGGCCCCTGAAGAGGAGGCCACCCAAGAAAACCAACGAGCTGCCACACCCGAACAAACTCCCGGGGATCTTTGGTGAGGTCTGGGAGGGGCCTGGGGTGGGGTCCGGGAGCCACCTGGAGGGGACAGACCCTCTGGGTCCTCAGGTTCAGGCCGGGGTCACCCCCCAGCACTGTCCTGTGGACCAGCCTCTGCCCTCTCCGTCCCTGCCACCCAGAAGTGCTTTCTCTGCCCTCCCCTGGCTCCCAGGGCTTTTTCCAGAAGTCTCCATCAGAATCGGGTGCCCCATCCTCCGGGCAGCACAGCCCCTGGGGACCCTGCAGGATGCACAACTGTTTATGAGGAGGTCTCCCCCGCAGACTGAGCCCCTCAGGATCAGGAGTGGGCCTGCCCTGCCCTCCTGCCCTCCTCTCCTCCACGGGGAGTCCGCCCTTTGGCCTCCGTGAGCCACTCGATCCTGTGGAATGGGGGCGGCAGGAGAGGTGGGATGAGGTCACTACAGAAAAGGAGCCACTGATGGCCCAGGGTCCCCTGGGCTGTTTACTGAAGCATCGGGAGGGCCCACAGGTTGGAACTCAGGGGAGGCTGGGATGAGTGCAGGGTTCCTCTGTAGCTATCGGACCCACCTGGAGCCATCGAAGTTTCTCGAGCTGGTTTGTGACACCAGCAGAGCTGCAGGATGGGCTTAATGAGATCAAATGCGTCTGTTTCACTGCATTCATTTATTCACCAAGTGTGCCCGGTGGGGTGTCCCCTGCCCTGGGAGCTCCCTGTGGAAGCTGTCCAGAGCAGGAACCCCAGAACAGACCTGGCTTCTGTCCCTGCAGATGACGTTCACGGCACCGACGGCCGGCAGGTTTGCCGACGGCACGAGCTCTACGTCAGCTTCCAGGACCTCGGCTGGCTGGTAATTTCTGACTCTCCTCCTTCTTACATGACGGTCCCCACCCGGAGATGATAGGTGTATCTCCAGGGGCAGCTAGAATTATGGGTGACTTTAATTTTCTCATGCATTAGGTTCTTCAGTGTTTTCTGAAGGGAATATGTCTTTCTTTTATAGTGAGAAGGTGCTTTTTGGTGAAAACCATGGAAATGGGGATAGTCTGAATCCTCAGCCAGAACATGTCAGGGCTGCAACAGGGAAACCGAGGCTGGGAGGGCAGTGCGTGTGCACATCTGCTGGGACAGCAGCTCTAGAAGATGCAGGCAGTGGGGCGGGTGGGGAGGATGATGCCCAGTGCACGTGAAGGGGACAGAGCTGTGCCCAGCCCTGCCTGCCAAGGGCCTCCCGGTGGACGACAGGCCTCTTGGGGGAGCCTGCCTGCAGGGACCCTAGGCTTGGCTGATGGGGCTGGGGCTGGGGCTGCAGGTGGGTAAGGGGCAGCCCTGAGTCGTCTTGTGCTGTGTGCTGGATTCAGGGGCTCAGTGTGGGGGGGCATCTGGATGGCACTCACTTTCTCCTCTTCCCCCCCCCCCAGGATTGGGTCATTGCTCCCCAAGGCTACTCGGCCTATTACTGTGAGGGGGAGTGCTCCTTCCCGCTGGACTCGTGCATGAATGCCACCAACCACGCCATCCTGCAGTCCCTGGTCAGTACCGCGTCCATCCTGTCCCCACCCA